GGATGGGGGATGACCTGCCATGCAAGCAGTTGTTTCATGTCATCAGTCCCGACCTTGACTGAGTGTTGGACAGCCTGGGGGAAACTATCAGGATCGCAACTAGCTGTTCAGAAGACCACGGCTTGCATCTACCAGAGGAAATTTTGTACGCGAGATGATCATGAGCAGACTACTTAGATGGTGGACGAGGCAAACCAACATTGCTGGTACCAGTCATGTAACCGGAGGTAGAAGCGTGCAATGGCAAGAGTAGGGCTGTGAAACGCTGCGGGGATCTATTTCCTACCGCGAGAAGTGGGAGGTTTCCAGAAGGCCCACAGTGCTCGAGTTCAAGATGCCGCTGATTCATTGAGAATTTGCTTCCCCTGTCAAGTTGTCACCGGTTTGCAGGAACTGTTCCAACAGTCATGGAGAATGCCTCGCCACAGAAGCCCTCAGCCAGCCAAGACACACCAGACCTGAAGCCTACAAAAAAAAGCAGACAGACCTTGCATACTCCCGCAGCTCCAAGTTGATCTCAACTTCTGAGAACCGTGCAAAACGGGAACCTCTCGCGCATGCGCTCCTTATTATTGTGCGCTTACTTCTCCAACCCATCGCTTCTGAACGCTACTGAAAGCCCACCCCTGCAAGCGGAATGCGCCATGACGACGCCGGACGCCGCAAGCACAAGCCATCCTGGGCTAGGCTGCGTCGGGTCTAGGGGTTAGGATTTAGGGTTCTGAGCCTGACAAAATCGCACGAAAAGGAAAGCTCTTCAGGGGCCCCCCCTAAGGTCAGGTCGGAATGCTTCGCAATGGCATCTCCTCACAGGCACTCTATCCCAACGCTAAACCCTAAGCCCTAAAGTCTAAACTGATTGTATCAAAGCCCCTTTAAGCTCCCTTAGTGTTACATCCAGCGTAGCAGAAGGTCAAGTCAGAACTGAACGTTGTAGGAACCATGGTGGATGAACCGTCGCCTTTCTGTTTTTTAGGGCCCACTAGCTGCCATTATCATGTTCATTCCTCTTCTGTTCATACTAAGTAATTGAAGCTGTTCTCGTGAATATTTCTAATTACTATGACTATCAGTCATATTATTGTTATTATCAGTAGTAGCATTGAGCTGCGGGCAGCTTCCAACTTTTCGGCGTGCTCAAGCGGGTGCAACAAATAGTTAAATCACAGTAACATGTGCATCAGTTCTGCGCCAGCTGTCGAAAAGGACTCCAACCGAAAGGACATGTGCCTATAGTTCCCACGAGCCCCCAATTCATACCAGACTCTTATGTTGTGATCTGCCCCAAAACCCTTTTCTAATTATTCAGCCCCTGGACTGCCTTGTCGGAGAAGAGGCTGTGGCCTTGGCTCCTGCTGGCCTCGGCCGCACCCGTTGGTAAACTCACCGAGGCAGCCAGAGCTTAGCGTCGTTCGTATAGTTTCTGTGACAGAAGATCAACTTCTGGTCGGTATGGAACATGGACTCTACTTCGGGGCTTTATGCCTTGCGGGCGGAAGATCGGGACCAGAGAAGTTTAGACTACTTGTATCATCCTTCATGGCACTTCTGAGGACGCAAGGAACATGGTGAGTCAGTCTAGAGGAGACCAGTCTTGGACTTTGGGTCCAGACACTGTTTGAGGTTTACGCTGTGTGTTCAGGGAACCCTCCTTGACACTGTCCTCTGTGAAGTCTGGGGGGAGAGGCAGATTTCTGTGTCTAAGATTGGTATGAACCATTGTCACATCTTGAAGCACTAGGTAGTCAGTTAATCAGCACCCGGAGATCGTCCCTCAACCAAGCCTGAAGACCCAAAAGGATCCTAAACCCTAAAAACCCCAAACCCTATAAACCCTAAACCCTGTAAACCCTAAACCCTGTAAACCCTGTAAATCCTAAATCAAGAGGCCTTCGTCCGCAGCGGCGCGCGCCCAACGCGCTGGCAGCTGGCCCGACGTGCCCAGGAGTGAGATGAATCTGGGGTAGTTCTCTAAAGAAGGGTCCTTTTTAGGGTTTAGGGTTTAGGGCTTTAGGGTTTTAGGGTATAGGGATTAGGCTTTTAGGGTTTTAGGGTTTAGGGATTTAGGGTTTTAGGGTTTAGGGTTTCGGGTTAAGGGTTTTTAGGTCCCCAAAAGTAGTACGGCACCCTTATAAAACGGACGCTAAAAGGGACCCTAGTTTAGAGGACTAATCATGTAGAGGCCTTGATCATCAGAACGGGGTGTTTGTAGTATGCCATGATGATAATAAGGAACCCCACAGTTTTATTGGTAATGACCTAGGCCCCTATATTGGCACTAGGGGGCTTGGAGTAGTTGAGAATGGCATTTCCTGTGCGGCCTTGTAGCAACTACGTTTTATAGTATACCTGCAAAGTCCATTTCCATGTATGGAGGCCTTTGGGGCTTTGGGGCGTTAGGGTTTTGGAAGCCGGGGTCACAGCTTATCGCGCTAAAATTGTGCGGAAATTTGTTTTCAGAGCCCTTCGAAACCATCTTTGAGGCTTCAAACAACCGAGGAAGCGTTAAAGTTTTCACTAGGCTGCTGGCACGCAGGGGGATCCAAGTATCGTCTTTCTACCGCAGGTACGGGTCGTGTCGATGGCAGGAGACAGAGGGGCCCGCCATCGGCCTCGACATTGGCACCACCAACTCGGCGGTGGCAGTGCGGCGTGAGGACGGGCGGTTCCTGGTGGTACCTCCTCCAGGCCGGACAATATGATTGCCACGATCCTCCTAATGTTCCCAATTTTGTTAGCATTCCCCCACAACTGCTGCTGCGGCTTCGACTATTGTTTCCTAATATTACTACTACTACTACTACTACTACTACTACTACTAATACTACTAATACACTACTAATACTACTAATACTACTAATACTACTTCTACTTCTCGTGTTGCACCTCCCTCCCCCTCATCCTCCTCCACTTTTGCTGCTGCGGCGAGTGTGTGGCGACGGCAAATAGAGCGCACCGACAGGGCAGCAACAGGAAACTTCTAGGACTGCCCGGAAGACAGCATTGGAATTACCTGTGCTTTTTCAGGACGTGAAAATTTCATGACACAACGGCAGGAGTAGTGACTGTAGTACAATTATGAAAACACTTCGAAACAGTGAGTAACAGCGCATATTCAGAACAACACAGCAAACACAGCAGCGATACAGTGATAGTCGCTGTGATGACTGCAAGGCTAGTCGCCGCTACATCTACAAGTCAGCGAAATGTGAACTGAAGCAATGTGCAGCTCCGACAGGGGGAGGGCCCATTTCAGCAGCAAAGGTTCTGCATCAAGAGCTGCTGCATGATTTCCAGCTAGATGGCATTGTCTGCTGTTCCGAGAAGTAGTCGGATAGGCACGGGCTCCAGCGCGGTTCCCAAGTAGAGTTTCCAAGCAGTATTTAGGTGTTGTAGGACAAAGGGTCCGTAACTGTCACTATCTGTCACTGCTGCAGAGTGTGTCAAGGTGCCCCCCCGGGGCGGCCGACGATGCCTTCCCTCGTGGCCTTCAACTTGAAAGGCAACTCTGTTGCAGGCCGGGCCTTAAACCCTAAACCCTCAAAACCCTGAACCCTAAACCCTTTTAACATCGAGGGAACTGCGGTAGAGTCGATCGTCTCTCCGGAACGACGTTGTGACGACTTAAGTTGAAGGCCTCCCAGCCGCGCGGATCCGATCGGACGGCGTGAAGCAGGTGAGCCTCGGCTGCGCAAGATTAATAGACTATAACATCATATATAACACTAACAATATATTACAGCATGATAGCAATAGTGCAGTATAGCAGCAATACGGTTGATGATATAAATCCTGCATTACCCATAATAAGGAATATACCACAATTCCTATAGTTGAGGGCCCTTAAGGTAATGCAGGATGTATATCATCAACAGTAGTATAATATAAGTAAATAATCAGGAGAACAGCCACAACTCTTTGTTGCACGTGACCCGAGATGCGTAGCGACCTCAAAGCTTGAAAGTCTCGAGAAATGGGGATGCCCTAATCTGGGACGCACCCGCAGAACCTTCTAGATTCTTGCATCCTTAAACCCTAACCTCTAAAAACCCCTACAAGCCCGATAGAAGCCTGCAAACCCCATAGGCCCAATAAGAGCCTCTTATGAACCCCTAAACCCCTGCAAGAGCCTATCAACCCTACAGGTAACAAGCCCTATAGAGCAAATGAGCCCCGCAAACCCAATAAGAGTTCATAAAGCCCCAAACCCTAAACCCTATAAAAATGGCTTAATTATTATAATCCCAATAAGAGTTCATAAAACCCCAAACCCTACAAGAGCCTCTCAACCCTGCAAGCAATACAAAAGCCCATGAACCAAATAAGCTCTAATCAGCCCAGGGTCTACCGCTCACTCAAGCGGCTTCTGGGCCGAACCTACGCCGAGGTGGCCTTGGGGTTTTAGGGGTTAGGATTTGTTTACGGTTTAGGGTTTTTGTTAGGTGAAGGTTGTTTAAAAGTTTGGGGTGGGTGTATTGTTTGCAGGGTTTGGGGTTTATGGTTTATGAGGTTTGGGGCTTGCGACGTATCGGGAACTTGCAGGGACTTTGTGGGGACTCCTGAATTCTGCAATGATTTTGGCTGATGGCAGTTTATCGCGCGGTTCAGGAGAGACTTTCGGGACGACAAGAACTTCGGCAACTTTAGGGACTTTGCGGTTTTGGGCTCTATGGTTCGGGTTTAGGGTCAGGCTTTCAGATTTGGTTAAGTACGCAGACTTTGTTACAGGGTGTTGGGGTCTAGGGGGCCCCACGAGTGGTGGGAGTTTGCGGTCGGCGAGATCTGAGACCAAGTCTGAGTGCACAGCATGGAGGTGTCTAGGGGCTAAAATTGGCTCGCAGCTTCTTCTTCTAGGCATTTTATCGGGGGCTTCCGTGGGTAGAGCCTCGATGAGATTGGAGCTTGACGCCTCAATTTCTGCCATGCACCCAGGGCTTAGGGTCTGGGTGCATTGCACCGCCATTGCTGCTCCGCGAGGTAAGCCACCATTCTTGTTCAACCACGCTAACCTGAAGCCGCAATCGCACCTTCCCCTGCTCAAACAACGACGGATAAGACGATCAACAAAAGCGTCGTATACACAACAGTTCCGCTAGCTCGGAAAAGCCATCCCTGTCAAGGCCCATGAAGTGGGAATCAAGCCCAGCGCCCTTGGCGCCGATCCCAACGGGAAGGTCGAATGCATGAGAGCTTGCGACCTGGGGGTGTAGAGGGGTTTACCGGGGCGCGGGCTTTGGACCCTCGGTGGTTCAGAAATGAGCACTGCAGAGATTTGGCACGGCCTTGCCGTCAGGTGGATGTTTATTGTTTCTCAAGCTATTGGTGAATGATGCGGGTGTGAAGTGGGGGGGTCCAGAAATTTCTGGAAGGATTGCTCCATGACAGCTTCGTTCCTTCTGCTACGCATCACACCCTGCCCCCAACTCGCGCCTGTCCCAAGCTTCATCTGGCAAAGGCCAACGAGCTGGTACGTTTGCGTCTTCCAGGCCTGATCGCTTGGTGCAGCAATCGCAGATCGTGTAGCCAAGCTCATCCCCAAGTCACTGATGGCCAAGATTTTTCTGCCACCCTTCTTGCACTCGGCCGCTCGTACTGTTCCCTTGAAGCCTTCGCATGTCCCCACTAGGTGGTCAGCTCATCCCAGTTGAGGAGGCAGTTGCGTTGCTGATCAAGGCACATGGGAAGGTGTGCGTGTATGTGTGTGTGTGCAATAAAAACTATTCTGATGTAATATCGATGATGTACCCTTTGAGGCAAACTTAAAGGTGCTCCGCTGTTTTGTTTTGATATTTCGCAAATTCCTCCAACAGACTTGGCATACTGTGAGTGCGCGTAGAGTAGGACACTCTTTCAAGGGTCATACCACAATCGTGCAATGCGTCCCTTGAAATGACTACGGTCGAGTAAGGCTGTGGCTTCGGCAGTACACTGCTATGTCTTCGTTGTAGTGTCAGTGCCATAGTCAGTATCTTATCATAGGTGATGTGGCCGGTGCGGAAACTTGGGTAATTGGCTTTGTGGTAGTAGAGTTTCCGATGCCTAAATAGTTTTGCGGGCAGCATTCAGGTTTTTTGCCTGAGACCGGCATAACTGACACCTAAACCCGAAACCTTAAACCCAACAAATGAGGCCCTTGTGTCTGTGGCGGAGCTCTACCTCAAGCAGCCTGTGAAGCGGGCCGTCCTAGGCACGGCATCCTTCAAAGATGCAGATTCACCAGGGTGAGCGAAAACTCCGCCCAGCATGATTTCTACTTTTGGGGTTTAGGGTTTAGGGTTTAGCATGATTTCTACACTGAGACCTCTTATTCCTCAGCCAGCATGCCAGCGTTGGCTCTTGCAGGCGTTCCAGCGCGGTGGACCAAGAATCAGCGGATGGCGCTCGAGTATGCTGCCAAGCTTGCAGGCCAGGCAGCTGCCAGAAATCCGCTTGCTCGGACGTATCAAGGCTCCGAGCCTAAATCCCAGACCCGAACCCAGTCCACCCAAGGCCAGTCTTGCCTCTTGGTACCCTCTAAGCTGAAACCTACCGACTACCGATTTTATGGGGTTTTCGGCCTCAGTTCTTTGGATTTCTACAGTCCTGTGGCTTCAGGGGCTTCAGGGTTCTCATGTTTCGGGATTCGGGGCTTCAGGACAGTTCTGCCCCCACAGAGCCGTAAATCCTAAGCCTTAGAGACCCAAAGTTGCAAACCGGAAGCCTTAACAAAAACCCTACTTAGTATCTGTATATGTATGATATATATATATATATTTATATAAGGTGTGTATATATAGAAGATATATATATATATGCATATATATATATATTACATACTTATAGTGGGAACCCTAAGTCCTGGCCCTAAACCCTAGGAAGCCTTGAGGCCTCCAATCTGTCCGGCTCATCCCAGAGCCTGAGTTGGCTGTGCGGGCCTATGGTGTCCGTTCCAGTCCCAACGCGCAGATCATCACAGGATTCTGGGCAACGCAGTGGGGGTTTATAGGGGTTTAGGGTCATACGGCATTTAGGGTTTTAGGGCTTGTACGGCTTTATTAAGGTTTGGAGTAAGGTTTGGGAGATGGGGCTTCGGAGTTTGGGGTTGAGGAGCCTCGGGTTTGGGAGCGTTTTGGGCAAAGTTTACAGGGTCTGGGCTTTCTCGGCCTCCGGGCTGCTTCAAGTCGCGAAGAAAGGTGCCCTTCGTGTAGGTTCTACCGTGGCGGCTGCAGGGTTTCACTCATGGACGTGCAGTTTCGCCGTCGTGTACCTTTTGAGAAAGAGTTACCAGCCGCGAAAGTCCGATGATAATGACGACATATGAAACCAATGCAACACAGTTCGTATTGATTGCAAGAACGAGATGAATATCTAGTTACACGTTACATATAAGTTGTAATAGTAGTCTATAATGTCTCATGCACGACTTACATGCGACATTACATGACTACAGACTTCAGAATTACGAAGCTAGGAAGGTAATAATGTACGTACATTATTGAAGCAATAGTATGGTGCCTAGTGCCCTAGATGACAAGCTACCTAATTTCGATTCTTATGCCCGGCCGAGCACGACGTCTCGTAGGAACGACGGATCTCCTGAAGTGTAAGCGATTGAACATCCCCCTTCGACTTATGGACTAAGGTCTGCTTTTTGGAGCCGATGCCACTCAAAATCAAGCAAGTCTAAGATCCACCAGGTTGCAGAGAGTTGGGCGTAGTCGCCCTTTGATGTTTTCTGCGGTCTCGCCCTTTCCCGGCTCGACGACCCTTTCACAGTCGAAGGCCTTACCCACCCCGAGAGCCATGCTGAGACCTGCACTCCCCGCAGGAGGCGGCAATTTGGGTGCAAAACCTGTGGGTCTTGCGGGCAATGTGGAGCTGGATGAGCTCCAACAGCGACGCTTTGGTGTTCGGATTGGTTTTACGAGAGGCATTTCCGCACTACCTCGCAGCGCATTTGCGCAAATTTTCGTAAAGTTGGACAAGGTTAGAAGTCTGATTGCTTTTCTGGATGCAACTGCGCTGGGCAGCATGGCCATCTGTCCTATAGGATTATGGTTTTTCGAGATACAAAATTTGCAGGTCTGTAGACATGTCGTGTCTGCGGGCCTGTAGGTATGCGGATGTTTGTATTCGTGTCCTGCCCATCCTACCTTGCCAGTCGGCCGCGGCCGCAAAAATGCAACTCAATTTACATGTATAGTACAAAGTAGCTACGGGCACTGCATGCTCACTCAAAAGCTATAGGGTCGCGGATTCCAAACTTGCACGGACATCTCGCTACAGCGACTCAGAAGTTGCTTATTACAACCACCATGATGGTTGTTGCGACATTCTATCTCAAGCAGCACCTTCAAAAGGCATGATAAAGGGCGTGCGCAAGTCTAGCAGGCAGTCAACCATCCAACAGCCCATGCCCCTGCTCCTTAGCTTCAGAACCTCCGCATGGAAACACGAGTCGGTGAGGAATTGAGGAGGATCCTTATGCTGCTTCTCAAGACGAATTGGAGAAGCAAATGGAAGCTTGGCTTCAGAATAAGGGTCCTTGTACGCATGATGTTCCTGAGTCGTGAGGATTCGTTCAACAACAACAGCAACGACGACGACGACGACGACAACGACAACAACGACAACAACAACAAGAACAACAACAAGAATAAGAAAAAGAGCAAGAACAAGAACAAGAACACGAACAAGAACAACAGCA